GATTTTGGTACTTAAAAACATCAATTTGGGTCAAAGAGTGGGACGGTGGGCAGACATTCATTTGCCAGTATGGTTTTTGTAGTGTTCAACATGTGTCCTATTATATCATCTAAGGTTGAACCTTCACATGTCACTTGCAGTATCTTATAAAAAATAGAACCTTATATTTAGTTCTTTTAGGAATGAAATGTTGGAGTGTCAAAGGATATAACATATTACTATGTAAATATAACCTTAACCCAAAGAAAAAATCAGGTGGGTAATCTTCTTGCTACGTAGATAGATAGAGGTTGAAACTTAAGCCATTTTTTTGGCAAATTTTGAAGCTGGAGCCTGGTTTGGGCAAACACTAATGATGACATAACTGCATGAACACAACCACTAGAACAATCTTTTCACAGTAGTAACCATGCTATTTTTTAGGTAAAACGTAAATACATGTAAGGTCTTATCAAGGGTCAAAACACCAAAAAGTGTGTATGTGGAATGATACCTGCAAACCTAAATGCTTTCCTCATGCAGTAATTTTGTTTTGTATTCCTTTAAAAAAAGCATCAGCCTTATATACATAATATTAATCATAATACCATCAATTCCATTCAATACACCACACCTACAATAGATGGCACCATGTCTCTCTTGAAAGGAGGCACTAAATGGATTTTGTCTGCCTACAACAACTCATCCCGGTGGACATTCAACAAGGAGTGTTGTGACAAGTACAACAAGCCGGGAAATTCCAAATATCTTTCACCAGGCGTGCAATGATAGACATTGTTATTCAACTATCAGATAATACTTTGAACATGCAAATTTAGGGTAGAGAAGCCAAATATTGTTTTTTATTTGAAAATATCATCTTCTATATCTAATTAACTAGCCACAACTAACCCATTTCTCTCAGCATGCAAACATGTCACCTCATCATGTAACATGCATGGGAATAGGTCTATCATAACATGCATAGGAATAAAACAATTCATGCATCTAAATACCTAACCCCCACCAGCCCATTCTCGTAGCATCCAAGCATGACATCTCATCATGTAACATACATGAAAATATGTCTACCTCAACATACAACCATGCATAGGAAAATCACACTTCAACATCCAAACATGCATTAGAACTTCCATTCTATTACGCTATTTATATTTAATAAATATTCTAAAACTATAAAATAATCAAACACAATAATTTATATGTATATTCAATTTTAGTTCTCATATTTCTATTCCAGATATTCATATTTCATAGAACCAAATCTCATTGAAATATATTGTAAATTATCCGCGGATGCAACAACATGCGGGGTATCATCTAGTATAACTAAGTAGGTGATCCCTGCTAACATATTTATCTCAATGTGCAACAATGCCATCTCATCGTGCAACCATACATTGGATAAGTCCAATCTCATCATGCAACCATGCATGAAATATTTAAAATCTTTTAATTCTAATATAAAACGTTTTAGAGACTCGTCTCTAAAATGTCTTATTTTTTTTTACAGTGGGGGTATTTTATAATTATATTAATAATCACATGCATTTTTTAGTCCTTATATTTGTAATCCAAATTATTATTTCATACAACTAAATCTGATTAAATATATATTACAACCAATGCATAGTGTATCATCTAGTATAGGATAACATTGTAGCCTAGTTGGGCTATGAATTTGGCCCATTAACACTATCAACACATAATTAGTCGCTTTGTTTCTGGAGTTACATATTTAGTTTGGTTCTGAAATTTATGACATGACTAGCAAAAGAGCCCGTGCGTTGCAACGGGAGAAAAAAAATAACACACACTCTTAACCCAATAACCATAATATATTCATGCACTTTATTTTAGCGAGGCATCATTTTTATGTTGCCGCTTATCCTCCTTCTCACCCTCAGTGGCCTCAGTGTTCACACAAACCAAAGTGTGTTTGAATGTTGTTTTTCCCCTGCCAGTTTTTTCAGAGGTGCTCATGTGTGGTTAATCGATGTTTTCTTTCGTCTCTTTATGATTTTAGTGGTTGTTTATTTGCAATCCAGATCGTCGTGGTACGAAAGAAAAACGGACGTGCCCTATAGGTTACAAGTTCGCTTTTAAAATAATATTTCAAAATATTTAATAGGTCAAAATAACATCATATTCAAATTCTACATATTTTTCTATTCAAATTTCATATATAACATGTTAAAATCGGAGTTACGGTTTAATAGATATGGATAATTAAGAAAAATATTTGTTTGACTTAAATATCTTCCAAAATAATATTTAAAAAATATTTAACAAACAAAATAACATCATATTCATATTCTACACATTTTTCTAATCAATTTTCATATATAACATGTTAAAATCGGAGTTACGGTTTAAAAGATATGAATAATTTAGAAAAACATTTGTTTGACTTATATATGATCGGCGGGTGAATTATCTAATACGTCAGGGGGTTCCGTAAAAATGTAAAATAACGGTTCGGTTATGACTTAAGTGTGTACTGCGGGTTAATTCATGAAAAATGCAGGGGGTTTTCTGCAAAAGTGCATGACGGACGACGGAAACCCAATTTGCTTTATTATTAGGTAGAGATTGGCTAAAGTAAGGTTTAGTGTTGATAGTTATTATTGGCCATTAAATCCCCCAAATAATACAGGTGACCAGATAGTACTCGATAGTTGGGGGTATAGGATATGTTCCACCTCCATCGGCCACCTATTATTCCACCTATCATCCCATAGCCTAGTCTTAATCGCTAGTATGCATGATGCTAGCGGAGCACAAGAAATTTTCTCTTTCTTTTTTTCTCTCAAGCACGCACAAGCGTGCATATCATATATTATACTCCCTCCGTTCTGAATTACTTGTCTTAGATTTGTCTAGATACGGATGTATCTAGACTTATTTTAGTGCTAGATACATCCGTATCTAGACAAATCGAAGACAAGTAATTTGGAACGGAGGGAGTAGAAGAGAGGGTAAAAAAACACATCTATCTGAGAGTGTCACATGTAACTGAAACACTCTGTCCACTCTACAGGATCCTAGAATTAACAACTACTTCCGCAAAAAAAAGAATTAACAACTACTACTCGCTCTTTATCCACCTCGACATCGCCCCAAAGAAGGTTGAGAGCTCCCCTCAATAACCCTCCCTGCTTTCAAGTGTGGCTTCATTCCCAATCTGTTGTACACTTGTACTACAAATCTCGGGGTGGTGTAACACTCTCAAAGACAATTGCATTTCAATGTTTCGACGGCTCCGACAAACCTAGAATAGTGATGGTATGGGTTTCCTTCCGTGGGTGGCCCTCTCCATCCTTGCTTGCAGACCATGTCCCTAGCACCTCATACGCCGTAGGTACCCACTCTTGCTTGCCCAAGGCGGTGCACACCACAGTCCCCACCGTTCTCGTAAATACATAACCAAGTACGATGTGGTTGATGGTTTCACCATGCTGATCACAAAACGGGCATGCATCATGGTGCAGTACGCCCCGTCTTGCCAGTCTATCAACATTTGTTATCTAGGGCTAGCCAAGCAAAGAATCGGCTCTGCAACGGGGCCTTCAATTTCTACGTGAACTCCAGAGTGAGCACCACCTCCCATCCCGCAAGTTTAGCAGTGTGTGCGTGCCGAGAAATCGCCATCCTGCTCCTAAGACCAACGAATAGTATCGGCAACCCCAATAAGTAGGTACACGTTGGAAATTCTTTTCCATAGTGCCAAGTATTCCACCAACGTGCTCAAGTCCAGATTGGGATCCATGTCCCTTGCCCAAGCTCCATCCGTTAGAGCAGTGCAAACAATTCGTGTCGATCGCACCTGTTGTGGAATTCTGGCATACAATTGCGGTGCCAGCTCCTCAATTCTCAGGCTATCAATCCAATGATCCTTCCAGAATAGCATAATATGACCTATGTGAACTCTTGTCGCCGCCTTGAATAATGTCATCGATTCATCCGGCTCCCTGAGCTCGAATTCTGTCCACGGCCTTGACTCATCAGATCTACGGGACCATGGCCCCATCAAGCCTGCATGGCAATGTTTAGCCAGTGCACGTTCATGATCCCCAAGCCACCTGACCACTTGGGTGTACATGCTGTCTCCCAAGCAACTGCACTATTTTCACCATTGGCCTCCGCTTGGCCGCACCAAAGGAAACACCGTATAATTTTGTTCATTGCCGCCGCGGTTTCGGTGGAAGACCGGGCACTAGAATCACATGAGTTGGAATTGCACATAGCACAGGCTGAATGAGCAAAAGTCTTTCACTCATCGAGCCTCAATGAGCAACATTTTCTCTTTTCTCATTGTACTTGGGCATGTCTAAGACATAGAAGTAGAGTACTCCTCCCACGCTCCCACCTCTTTAGGTTTGATTACTGAGCCATCGATAAAATCTGAAATCTAAAACAATTCACAAATGGTTGAAAATCGAGTAAGACTAACCTTACGTAACCAAATCAATATTTATTGAAGTAGTAAACCAAATCGTTTTCGTTTCTATAAGGGTCGATTAAATTTGGGTTTATAAACTTATGGTGCGCCAGATGCATCTTGTTGTGCTAATTTGTGATCTAAAGAGTTTCCGAAACTTCTCGAACCTTTTGTTTATAGCTCCATCTGCACTGTGGAGCACTGACGATGGATAATATCTCGAGTGCGCCACATATCGTACCCGTCTACATACGTGTGCGTGGCCTTGTACGTGCTACATGCAACACATGCAACGTATACACGTGCCGCGATTTGCTCAGCGACAAGGCCTATCATTGTGTGGCTGGACAATTGATGTCATATTTGCTCAGCAAAGACTAAGTGTGGACTCCGGACGAATGATAACAAAAATAACACGTCAGATCGAATGGCGCCGTGCTTTAAGTATGTTATCCAAATCCAAGAATTTCAACAAAGCACGTCGTGCAAAACTGCTCTCTTGCCACCTATATGATCACCATCGAACACACACGTTCATACTCGTAAACTAGTAGCCGGGATGGAGAAGAAGAGGGTGGCCATCGTCGGAGCCGGCGTGAGCGGGCTGACGGCGTGCAAGCACCTGCTGGAGCGCGGCTGCCGTCCGGCCATCTTCGAGGCGGACAAGCTCCTGGGCGGCGTGTGGGCGCGCGCCCCGGACTGCACGTCGCTGCAGTCAGAGCGGCCCATGTACCAGTTCTCCGACTTCCCGTGGCCGGAGTCCGTGAGAGAGGTCTTCCCGGACCATCGACAGGTCGCCGACTACCTCGACGCCTACACCCGCCACTTCGGCGTGCTCGACTGCGTCAGGTTCGGGCACCGGGTGGTCGGGATGGAGTATGTCGGCGTCGGCGAGGAGAAGGTGGTGGAGTGGGAGGAGTGGGCCGGGTGCGGCGAGGCGTTTGGTTCTCCGACGGTGAGTGGCGTCTCACTGTGGCCGACGCCGAGGGCAACATCGAGGTACATATATTGATTGGTCGGCGAACTAGGAGTTTTCATAGATGAAGCTAATCCATGCCTCCGTCGACCGTGTTTGTATTGTTTTCATTTTCAGTGAGATTTAGATGAAATTCATTGAATTTCAGTAGACACTGAAATATTTAGCTTTTGGACAAAATATTCAGCAATTTCAGTGCTACACAGCAATTCAAGCATCTTTTTAACTATTTTCAATAATTTTAAAATTTTGGTTGAATTCAACTGTTTCAGCCCTTTGACCGAAATCGCTGAAATTGTTGCTGAAATATTTCCAAACCTGAAAGTGAAAACCACTTTGCTTCCATTTTCTAACGCCTAGCCTGTAATGTCTCTTTTCAATCAGTGAAGCTAATGAGATATTAAATGCATTATATTTTTCCTGTCTACAGACACACGTGGCAGACTTTGTGGTTCTTTGCATTGGGCGGTTTAGTGGTGTGCCCAACATACCCACTTTCCCTCCAGGCAAAGGTCCAGAAGCATTTGATGGGCAGGTGATTCACACCATGGATTACGCCAAAATGGGCACCAAGAAAGCTACCGAAATGTTAAAGGGCAAGCGTGTGACTGTCATTGGCTACTTGAAATCAGCTCTCGACGTAGCTGCCGAATGTGCAGACGTAAATGGTACACAATCCTACAACTAAAATTTATTTTCTCTTTTATCGCAGAAGTAACTATGTCATCATAATTTTTGTTTGCATGACAAAACAAAGGGTTGTTTATAGTCATTCTACGAAACTATATGCATTGCCTGTCATGATTACATTGTTTGAAATCTAACAATTATTCTTGATAAGAACTTAGATATAAAATTTACCGATCCCCTGCAGGTACTGAACATCCATGTACAATGGTTGTCCGAACAAAGCATTGGATCATACCAAGCTACTATGCGTGGGGTTTCCCTATAGCAAACTTATATCTAAATCGCTTCTCTGAATTACTTATCCACAAGCCTGGTGAGGGCTTCCTACTATGCCTCTTAGCCATCATCTTGACTCCCCTGGTACTGAAAATCAGCATGTTATTTTGTATTGATGCCATTTACACTTAGGTTTCAAACTAAATTGACACACGCTTAGTTCTTGTTTGTATATGAATAGAGGTGGTTGTTCTCAAAGTTTGCTGAGAGCTACTACTCCATCCCCATGAAGAAGCATGGCATGGTACCTGAGCATAGCTTCTTTGAGGCACTAGTGACATGCTTGATTGCCATTACAACAAAGGACCACTACAAGAGACTAGACGAAGGCAGCATTATTCTGAAAAAGTCCAAGACCTTTAGCTTCTGCAAGGAAGGTGTAGTTGTTGAAGGTGAATCTTCGCCGATAAAGAGCGATATAGTGATCTTCGGAACGGGATTCAAGGGAGACCAGAAGATCACGAACATGTTTACTTCAGAATACTTTCAGAGTATTGCAGTTGGGCCAATATCCTCGACTATACCTCTCTACAGGTTACTTCACTATTACTACCTGACTTTTGTTTACATGTGTTCCTTATTTTCAATCAAGATTAGGTTATTGAATATACTCTTCATATTTTATATTCAGGGAGTGCATACATCCTAAGATTCCACAACTCGCGGTCCTCGGTTATTCAGAGAGTCTAGCGAATCTGTACACTGCAGAAATTCGGGCCAAATGGCTGGCGCATTTCATTGATAGTGGATTCAGATCACCAAGTGTTAAAGCGATGCAGGGTGATATCCTTGAGTGGGAGAAGTTCATGAAGCGCTATTCTCGTGTCTACTTCCGGAGGTCCTGTATTGGGCTTCTTCACATCTGGTATAATGATCAACTATGTCAGGACATGGGATGCAACCCGAGAAGGAAGAATAGCATTTTAGCTGAATTATTTGAGGTATATGGTCCCCATGATTATGTTAATCTTCACCCCAAGTAAGAGGAGGTCTTGGTAGGATTCTTATGTTCAGCTCATATGTTCTGAGCAATCGATGTGGGTTATAGCAGCTTAGTATGTTTTTTTTTGTGTGTGTGTATTTTCTAGCCTGGTTATCCTTTATGGTCGGTCATATGATAATTTGATAAATAATGATCCTGTGATGAACATACATCAGATATCTTAAACATATGATATTTCGATAAAAAATGATTCTGTGATGAACTGAGAACATCACGATATGAGAAAATGAACCACACACATGGTTAAATCAGCATTGCCTTCCGCAAATATTATATCTGGTGACTGGTGAGACACACAGAATATGTTTGATCTCTACAAGCGTTAGGCAGGAATTCAACTATTGTACTAACCATCTAGATTAGGATTAATCTTCAAGCATCCAAAAACGCCCTCCTATTCTAGACAGCCAAGAGGCAGGGCAAATCAGTACTTATGAACGCTTCATTCTAGAATAAAGGATGTGCAACATCAACCATTTCTATTGTTGCACAGATATTCCAAATAAAATAATAACCATTTCTAGTGTTCCACTTGAGCTACTCCATGTGACAAATCAAATAATGGCTGCCTATTGCGACTGAGCGCATGAGACAGCATCCCATTATTGCAAGCAACTACGACGAGCTTGCGGTCTTTGCTGGCCACCGACATCTATGGCATTGCGCCATTTTGAGAGGATTCAGTGGCCGCGATGGGGTCAAACACAAAGAAACCAAAATCATAACAGGGGTGTCATACTTCATTACAAGAATCTAATTCCATGACAAGTCACAAGGCAGCACAAACTACAAGTGAAAAGAGTGATAATCGAACAACCCAGTCTCACAGCAAGAGGATGGATTAGTTTCTTGCAAAAATGTAACAGGTGACATGAACACAAGAGAATCACACATAACAAAGTGCTCGAACCCCACTTCAAGGATTTCATTCAACAACAGGTGAACACCGCATCATTTCAGCTCCAAATCCCGCCAAAGTGAAAGCCCATGGTCAGCGTTTAGATGTCATCGACATCATCATACATGGCAGATTCTGAGCCAACATCATCATAATCATCCACATAATTGAATTCACCATCAGCATCATCAGCATCATCATCCATGACCACATCCAGCAAATCATCGTGCATATCAACCTCAAAATCAGAACCAGAGTAATCTTCACTGTAATCCTCACTGTCAACGTAGGCCCAGTACTTGAAATCAGAGATGGGATCATGAGGAAGCTTAAGGTTTCTAATTCTAGCACACTTTGATTTCATAGCATCATCAATTTGGAGGTTGTAGCACATACGTATGTCAAGTGATTCAAGGTGAGGGCAATGGTCAAGGATTGCCATCAGTCCATCATTAGTTACTTCGCTACCAATCAACTGAAGGACTTGGAGACGAGGCATACTGTTAGCAATCCATGACGCTTCTGGGTCAATCTCCATGCGCTCATAGGCTGCATCAAACCGCTTATGAAAATCAGCCCAGCATTCATTTAGCCTAAAGCATTTCAGTTGTGAGCGGTTTTTGTCAACTAACTCGCAAAAATTGCCATACAATGAGCAGAACGAAATATCCAATTCTTCAAGCTGAGGAAGGCGATTAATTGCCTCAGCCAACCCTTTATCAGATACTTTATCACAAAAGCTGAGCTGAAGGCTCTTCAATGAGAATGCTCTGCATTGAGACATGGTAAGTTTTTAACCAACCCAAACATTTAAGCTATATCAAATCTTGACATGCTTTCCAAGCTCACAATGAGAAATACCACTGGAACAACATAACCAATTGAAATCCATAAGAAAATAAAACATTCTATGATGTTGGATTCATCATAATCTTCAAAAAGGTTGATAACTACGGTCACATGCAAATGAACCTCAACATGCAGTTCTAACAAAAAACCACATGACTTGATACTGTGTATGAATTCTACATATCACATTCAGTCAAACGATGAGAAGAAGAGCAGTAGAGGGCAATGAAACATGTGTCAGGTGGCATCCACCCTACAGCAGACGCAAATTCAAGCCTAAACTAGATTCCGCTAATGACGTGTGGTCCAAGAAGAGAGTTCCCTACTTTCTACTCCAGTATAGACTATAGATATAATTAAGAAAGAGTTTGAATAGGTTATTTTTCAATTAGGAAGTCGGAATAATTAGGAATTTTTGAGTTAGATTCAGATTGAGGTGAAGTCAGATTAGTTTGTATGCATAGCCTAAATAATGGCCAAACACTAGTTGAAAAATAATCAAGCAAGTTTAATCCCAATCTTTGTTCCCCTGCTATCACGCCGGGCGTTCTGTCTCTCTCTCCTCAACAAGAGTGAATTGCAGAAAACCACCACACTGAAGTCTAAGTTTGCAGAAAACACCAGTTTAAGAACTTGTGACAAAAAAGTTGATTCTCGTGCTAATCTTTTGCAAAAAACACGGATCAGTCTGTTTGGGCATTTTAACTGTGATTATGACATGTGGGTCCCGCATTTGATGACGTGGCATAACGATCTTCGTAGATGACGTTAGATGCGGAATTGTCTAGATTTACAAAATAGTCCCTGTAGTTTTATAGGGACACCCTTCAACAACAACAACAACAACAACAACAATAATAATAATAATAATAATAATAATAATAATAATAATCTTTACCTAATAATAGTAAAGAAAATTTGGTTTCTGGTCGTACGTTGTTAGCGTTTTTGCAAAAAAAGTCCGTGATGTTTTTGCTATTCAGCCCTAGTCCTCGGCATAAGTCAGCCCAAACCGGTATGGAGGAGAGAAAAGAAAAAAAAAATCCCAGCTTCCTCGATCCCATCTCGAGCACAGCCTGCCGCTCCCTCCTTCCCCACCCCGCCTCACCACCGCCGTCGTGCCCTCCGCCGCAGCACGCCGCCCGCCCCTGCCACCGCCACCTCCAGCCCGCCCCAACCCCCGCCGCCCTCCGCCCCC